CCTGGCATGCCAAGTTCCCTGCAGATAGAGGCTGCTTCATGGCAGGAGCCCCATCCACAACGGGTCTGAGGTCCCTGCAGAGGATGTTTTGCATCCTGCAGAGAAGTCTCTGTCTGTGGGGACCTTGGACCCCCCACAGACAGGGTCTGCTGCCACTCCACGGTGCTGCCTCTTGATCAGAGGCAGCAGCACAGGGTGGCAGGCAGCCAGTCCACAAGGAAAGCTGGTTTTTAAACTGGCTCCCCTCACAGACTGGCTCGGCCTTGCCACCCTGCATTGCTGCCTCTGATACAGAGGGAGCGGCAAGGGACTCCCGGGGAATGGGTCTGGGAGCCAAACGAGGGTATTATATGAGAAGCGTTAATTGTGACTTCATACAGCTCCCTTTTTTGTTTTCTGGCATTTGATGCCTACAACACTCCCTAAAATTTTGGAACTGACCAGATGTGGCATTTAAGAGAGATCATATTTTGCACAGAAATGCTATCAAGTTGGTCTAAGACCTTTGCAAACTTGGCCAAAAATGTCCAGTGATAAAGAAGCCACCCCAGGTCTGGATAACTTATTCCAATGATTAATGGCTCTCATTTTGAATCCGCACATTTGTTCCAGTCTGAATGTGTCTAGTTCCAACTTGTGGATCTTATTAGATCTTTGTCCGCTACATTAAAAAGCCTTCTATGAAACTTTCATTCCCCATGTCAGTAGACAGACCAAGTCACCTCCTAACCTCTTTGTGAAGATGAAAAGATTGAGCTCAATGCTTCTATAACTGCAAGGCAGGGTTTCTAATCCTTTAATCATTGGTGTGGTTCTTCTCCAGCTTATTCATGTGCTTTCTGAACCATGGACTGCAAAAATGGGTACTGTATTCTAATAGCAGTGGCAGCTACAGGGGGAATAAAGCCTCTCTTTTGACATGAGATTCTCCTAATCATACAGCCAAGGATTACATTAGCTCTTTTGGCTAAAGTATTATAGTAGGAGCTTCTGTTCAGTTGATTATCCCTTCTACCCCCCATTTTTGAGTCACTGCTTCCTAGCATAGATTGAAATACAGTTCCTGCTTCTCTCCCTGCTGTGAATCTGGGCCCCCACAGGACCAGGCCCTTCTTGGACAAAAGACACAGGACATTTCACACACAGAATATATTGGTTTGAATTTGTCCTTTTATGAACATTTTTCTCCTCCAAAGCTGCCTCCCCCATCCCAATAGAGAAGTGGGGGAATAAGAGACAAAATGCATTCAGCAGAGCTCTGGAAAGAAGACTATTTGTAAAGATACTGGTTCTAGAGAAGCAGACTGATGGGTGGAAGAGATGAGCCTATCTAGAGCCAAAGTGTGTGTGTGGGAGGGGGGTTCAAATTAGAACTGGACCTTCAAGGAATAGGGCAAGTCATGCAAGGGGAGAAATATAGTCATGGCTCATCCCATAAGCAGGAGCTGGGATGGGCCTCTTCTCTCTCAGGTTACCATTGGCTGGTTTTCATAATAAAAAGCAAACAGTCATCTCTTGCATTCATATTCTTGTCCCACATGCACATCCCTTGACTTAATCAGTTCTGGTGGAAGCAGCAGCCGCATCTTGTCCTGCCTCATCACAGATACTACTTCTTTTTCCCAACTGGATCAACTATGATGACTATGCCCCAACAGGCGAGACCTGGAGGGAGAAAACAGGAAGGAGACATCAGGGGGTGGCTGCATAGGATTGACTCTCCCTTAAAGGTATGACCCCCAGGAACTTGAATGGAGTGATCACTGTGCAGATTATAGTTTACATGGAGGAGAGGACTTGCTAAGTCGTGATCCTAAACACTCCTTAGAGCTAACATAGATGTAGGAGTAACCCCTCTGTGATGGTTTGGCCCCTGGGCCATGATCCCACTTGCCCCTATCTCAGTGACACCGCCTTGGATGGGTGATCCCATGCAGCTGGAATGGCCCTTGGCTCTGGGGTGACTTGTGACTCCGAGGTCAATGACGTCTCATGTCAACTCCAATACACCTGACCCCACCAAGGAACTCAGGGCTGGTTCCCATGGAGACAGGTCACGCGGTGCCCGGCGCACACTCACTGACGGCGAAGGTGAGCTGGACGATGTTCCATGGGGAGGGGGCGTAGCCCCGGGACAGGACCCTGCGCGCTCCCAGGTAGACCCAGAAGCCGGCTCCGACCAGCGCCGAGCCGGACAGGATGCGGCAGCTCCAGCAGGACCCGAACGGCAGCTTGGAGGGAGGCGCAGCGTCTTGGCGCGGCTCCGGGGGCCGAGACATGCCGGCGGGACAGGCCCAGGAAGGAGTCTGTTCCGAAGATAGCAGCGCAAATTAGGGGAACCGGAAGTACACGTGCCGCAAAGACCCTAGGACAATGAAACAGGAAGTAGAGATCTTTGTAATAACGGAATGATGTCACTGGAAATACTGGCCAACCTATTGGAGTTCTGGGGAGTGGAACGGGACAGGAAACGCTGCTCGTGAGGGTGCTGTGTGTTAGTGTCCGTGTGCGGACGTCATCCACTCGCTGGTAGTTCCGAGCGCTGAAAAATCTGCACCCCCCCAAGCATCTCTGCTCCTGACGGCTTCTGTCTAAGGCACTCCTCGGCCACTCATGGCTATTGCCCTTTCTGGGGGAGCTGCCGTTGTCCCCAGGAGAGCTGGGGCCCAGACTGCGCCTCAGGAAGGATTAGGACAGTTGAAGAGAGTCCTACAGGTGGCCCCCCATGACAGGCCCTTTGTGGTTTGGCTTCTCTCAGCAGGGCTGATGTAGAGAGCAGGGCAAGAATACTTGCTGTGAGAGGAGTTCTTGGTACTCCAGCCCCAAACACTGTCAGCAAGGCTGTTGTAGGAAACACAGCAGGAACACAGGCTAAGATTGGAATTTTGAGTAGATCTTGCAGGGTTTCTTTTCACTTTTTCCTTTTTAATATTGTGATATTGATACAGTTCTCCCCCTTTACTGGGATTAGCCTATATATTATTAAACATGGCTCTTTTTGCACAGTCTGAGTAGATATCAGAGAAAGAGGGACAGGCCAGGGCACAAAACAATAGTTTATTCATACCAAAACCTTTATTAATAATTGTTCAACATATCCATTATTCCTTTGTATTGCAATAGCACCAAGTTTACTCCATTCAAGTTCTTGTACAACCCTGTTCTCTGTGATATCTGGCTTTTTCTGTAAATGATGCGTTAAGTGATATGACTAACATTTGGCACAGGTTTCTTCAGTGAGGAGGGGGATTTTTTTTCTAGCATTATGACTCTTATTAGAGATTATACAGTCTATGTGTTGATGTTCACAAAGGCAGATTGCAGATATGGCCCAAAACCTCTGTATGGAAAATGGGGAAGTTTAGGTTGATTTTTAGTTCTTGAGGGAATTTATTACCACTAGGGATGTTAAAAACATGTTTATCTTAGTAAACACTAACTGCTGAAAATTTCAGCAGTTACACTGCAGGAGTTGGTTCCCCCAGAGCCTGTGCACCAGCTTTTAAGAGCAGCTCGGGGTGGGGAGGAGGCAGCTGTTGCTCACATGTAGCTGACTTGATACAGAGGCTGGAGTGGGGGGGCTGCATGTAACCATGAAAGTTAACCAATGAGCCCAAGCTCATTGGTTAACTCTTTACATCACATCCCTAATTACAATCTGGGACTAGCCTGCAGAGAAATAGTGTCTCTTGTACAAACTGTTGCCAGAGAGTTCTATTGAAACTGAGGAGCAGAGTGCACTGCTCTTGTGGTGAAGCTTTAGGCAACAATTGGCGTTGGTTCTGCTTTGGGCAGGGGGCTGGACTCAATGACCTCCTGAGGTCTCTTCCAGCTCTATGATTCTATGAACTTGGGTTCAGCTGTGGAGCATCCTGAAGATAAGCACTGAGACCTTGGCTACGTCTATATTGGCAAGATTTTGTGCAAATACTTTTAACGCAAGAGTTTTTGTGTTAAAGTATTTGTGCGAGAGAGCGTCTACATTGGCATGTGCTTTTGCACAAGAGATGTGCTTCTGCGCAAAAGCATCCATGCCAGTGTAGATGTTCTCTTGCACAAGAAAGCTCTGATGGCCAGTTTAGCCATGGGGCTTTCTTGCGCAAGAAATTCATGTTGCCTGTCTACACTGGCCTCTTGCACAAGAACAGTTGCTCAAGAGGGCTTATTCCTGAGTGGGAACGTCATAGTTCTTGCGCAAGAAGCACTGATTTTTTTACATTTGATCTCTGAGGGAAAGGCAGAATAGTGGGCAGGAGGCAGATATGCTGCTGTGCCTTATCTTAACAGCACAGGTTAGCACAGTGGGAATAGTGGATAAATAACAGTATCAGTCTATGCAGTTTTTAGCTGGCTTGGAATGGCAGCTACCCCCCACAGATGCCTAGATATTACAAAAATTCAGTTATGTGATTAGCACAAGAGGCAGCAACCATAGAGCCCTAACTGCCTTAACCACAACAACAGACATTTTTCAGGGTTACCAGATTAGTTTATTAAAAACCTGAAAATGCTTATTTACCTCATGCAATAATAGTCTTTGCTCTATCAGATCTGCATTATCCTCATGCTCAATGGGTGCAATCAGGGGCTGGAAATAAGACAGACCCTTCCAACATGAGGATCACTGACAACCAAGGAGTATCCATCCCATTCTGGCCTGTAGGAGACCACGAGTGGCTGCAGCAATGAAGAATGCAGTCTGTTCCCACCTCTGGCAGGTTCTCAGTACCAGTTGTTGCCTTGGTTCCCATTTGGGAGAGGAATGGTCAGGTGTCACTTGCTCCAGGGTGTCGGCCTCCGGGCCACGTTCTCATCTGTTTCAGCTGCCTCTTTGATTGCTGCCATTACCAGTTCATTCTGGTGTCGCCTCTTTGCCCAGTGTAGTGGGGTTGTCTCCTGCAGCTCCTGAGAAGAGAAGAAAGGGATTAAGGGTGTGTGTGTGGGGGGGGGGGTGTTTGGTGGTTTATAGAGCTCCCCCTGCTCCCTGAAAGCAAAGGCGAGAGTAACAGCAGTTTTTAATTCCTTTCTCCCGACCTCATGGACTGTTGCCTTTGCCAGCCCCCCCTCCCCGCAGTTATCCATCCCAGAGAAACTGGTTTCCAGCCTCTCACCTCCAGCCTGCGCTGCTCCCGCGGCGCTATCAGCGCCAAGATTCCGACCCCCACTCCTGTGGTCCCGGCCACCACCAGGCTCCCCAGCACCAGGCGCCGCAGGAATTCCATAGGGCGGGGATGAAAGCCGCCGGGTACCACAGAGTCTAGGTTTGTCGGGGGACGGAGCGGGCGGAACGTAACCATAGAGAGCGGGGGAGGTGTTTGGGTAGAGCGTCCCGTTGAGCTCGTGCTACCATAGAGGGGAAGTGCGAGTGAGGGACCACGATGGAGAGCGCTGCGCTGTGACAGAGCGCCCCCTCTTGCAACGGTGGAGAGAGCGCGGAGTGGAGTCAGAGAGTTCGATTTTTTGCAACCATAGAACGCAGGAACTGGTGGGCTAGAGTGTCCTATTTTGCAACCCTGGACAGCTGAGAGGTCTCGTGCTTCTCTCGCTTGTTGTGTGTCACTGGAGCCATTGGGCTAGTGCAACCTGGAGCTGTATGAGGCGATGGCATAGAGGGGGTGTATGTCTGGCTAGGTCACACTGCTGCTCCTTACTATAGATAGGGTGTGTGGCTGGGCCAGGCTGCCCAGCCTCCCAGCACAGTGCGGCTGTTTGGGGGCTGGGTCAATGTGCCTGTTCTGGTCTCTGTGGGTTCCAGTCTGGTCTCCAGACATGCTGCCACCCTCAGAGAGCGGTCAGGGAAGTACGTAGGCAGGGGGCGATGTAAGCTTTCCAGACCCATCTGAAGGGGTACAGAGGAGTCAGTCACCTGCCGTGTAGATGAGAGAGTGTATTTGTGCAGGTCTCACCCTGCCCAGGCTGCTCCCTTGCTGGGCACCTACAGAGGCCTTAGTTCCTGAATTCCAGCCTCTCTCGCTGTCTGGTCCTTGCTGGGAAGCAGCCTCAGCACCTGTAAGTGGGAACAGGGAACACCCAACCTTCTGTCCCCATCCCTTAGTGGGTGAATTATTGGGTCTGAGGCCCCATCTTGTGTTCTATAATGATAAAGAAAGGCCTGGAAAGGAGGAGATATTATATTTCCTCTCCCCCCATCCCATGATGCTGGGGATGTGTCCCTTTCTAATCTGCACAGGATTTGTCACGTCAGTCCCATTAAAACAGCTTTAAACTTTAGGAATCATGTAATCAAGCTACCTTAGATCTGAGCATGCTAGGGAAATGGGGCTGCTGGAAAATTTGGTAACTGGATAAACCTTGAGGTGAGGCCTTCACAGTGCTAAGGGCTCTGGGATCTCTATTCATAGTTCTGTTATTGCTGCCAAATTAATCCAGTCCTGCTCTAGCCCAGTTCATGGTGAAAGCCAGCCTGTGTGAGTAACATCAGCTGACCCAGTCTCTCTTGCTTGCCCCTCACCTCTAATGGCTGGAGCAGCTCCAGGGACCCAGTGCTGTTGCTGCTTAGCAGGGATGTGCAAGCTTCATGACAGAAGCTGAGATCTGGGTCCCTGGTCCCTTAAAAAACCTCAGATCCTCCACCTCCAGGGCAGCCAATTAGCTGCAAAGGCAATTTCTGTTAGCTCACTGCATGATTAACTGAAGCCCTGAATCCAATCCTCCTCTCCTGTATCTGTGTCCTGGAACAGCTCCCACCCAGTGCAACAGCTACCTTTTAAACCCCTTCCCTGATCTGGCCTGGGCTCCTGCTTTAGGTGCAGCAGGGAGATGATCTCCCTGGTGCAGGCTGCCATCAGCATGAGGACTGGAGTCCAGGGCTGAGAGTGCAGATGATGGGATCCAAAAGGAGAGCACTCTGCTGGCAGCAGAGAGTATTAGGGAGATCCCAGGTCTGGGAGTACAGGGGGGAACAGCAGGGGTACTCTTGCCAGGTTGGTGGGTACTGACAATGCATGTGGTCCCTGCAGAAGCACTGACAAAGGGAGTCCAATCTCTAGTCTTTCTCTCTCCCCCTGACCAGGCACCATATGGCTTTTGTGCCCAGGGGATTAGTCGGGTGTCAGGACAAAGCGCTTATGGCTCCTGAAGCATCTGTCAGCTCCCTGTGTTGTGGGCTGCTGGGCCCTATAATCCCTGCACATCCTGGGAGGGCCCAGGCAGCGCTTGATGGTGAGTGAACGAACAGAGTTCTGAGGGGAATCTCGGGGGAGGGAGGTGCGTGCAGCCCACGCACAGACTCCCTTTGTCCTCACAGTGGGACTCCTTGGAAGAATAGGGTGATCCCTGGGGGTGTCTCTGTCAGAGGCTCTTTGGGGCAGGGAAATGCCTTCCAGGGGAAGGGCTGGGACCTGCAGTGTGTGCATGTGGGAGTCTGTGGTGTGAGGAATCTCCCCCCCTTCCCTCCCCCATCTGGTGCAGGGGCTGAATTCCCAGTTCAGGAGTGTCTGAACTTCAGGGTCCAGATCTTGGGGAATAGATGTGGGGTTTATTCCTGGCTGGGTGATGGAAGGATGTGGGGCCATTTCCAACCCTGACTCCCACTGTTTACCCCCAGCATCACCATGGCTGAGGGGACTCTGGACAGTGCGGGTGCTCCAGCCCAGGCAGCACTGCCCCCTGGTGAGGTCTCCACCCCCATCCAGGTACCTGTGGTGACCCCAGGCCGGAACAGCCTGCTCCAGCCCCAGAGCACTGACCAGGAAATGCAGTGGCTACCAGAAGTGGGAAGGAGCCTCATCCAGGCAGAGCCCCCTGCACTGAGACAGGTGAGACACCCTTTTCCTGGGACAGCTCCCACTGGGTACACCAAAAGGATGCCCCTGTGGAGAGCCTGGTGAGCCTCCCCAGGACAAAGCCCCTTGTGCTGCTTCTCACGCTTCTGTGCATCAGATCGAGCCCCCCTCCCGCGCCTCATATCAGGGCCTTACTGCCCTGTATGTCCCTTCCTCCTGCCCCTTTCCAGGTCCCTGGGCAGCTAGGCTCTCTGGCTGTGTCTAGACTGGCAAGTTTTTCCACAAAAGCAGCTGCTTTTGTGGAAATCTTGCCAGCTGTCTACACTGGCCGCTTGAATTTCCGCAAGAACACTGACAATCTCATGTAAGAAATCAGTGCTTCTTGCGGAAATACTATGCTGCTCCCGTTCGGGTAAAAGTCCTTTTGCCACAAAAGCTTTTGCGCAAAAGGGCACAAAAGCTTTTGCGCAAAAGGGCCATGAGCTCTAAAATGTACACAGATTTTAAAAATTCAGCAGCAATAATATGATTTACTTATCTAAAGTTTCCATCTCTTGGTGAAATCATAATGAAAACAGAATTTGAACAGAAGAGAGCTGCTGTTACAGTCACAAATAAATAGTTATTGGTACAGAGTGGGTAGGTAGATTCTCCAGACCTGCTGAAGCCAGCTGAGTTCAGGCACTGAGTGCCCAAACTAACCCCAGTATCCTCTGTGCCTAGTTCTCTCCAGAGCTCTGTGAGATGGGCAGGCTGTGCAAAACTCCCCCTGAGGAGATGTGCGAGGCAATGTTCGAGGATCCCCCCAGGGAGCCATGCGTGGAGCTGTGTGAGGACACCCCTCCCTGGGAACTGTGCAGGGAATCCCTCCCTGAGCCATGTGAAGGGCTGTGCGAGGAGATGTGCAAAGATCCTCCCCCCTGGAAGCCATGTGAGGGTTCATTTGGAAGTCCCATGCAGGGGAAGGCCCGGCTGCCATCTATTGTGGTAGAGCCCACGGAGGTGGGAGAAGTGGAGAGTGGGGAGCTGCGATGGCCCCCAGATGACTTCCTGCTGCAGGAGGGTGAGGATGAGCTCTTCACCGATGAAGAGGAGCAAGCGCCAGGGCCAGGTGAGTCTGGGTGACAAGAATAGGCCCCGGAGTCTGGGGGACAGGACAGGGGGCTAATGCAAGAAGGAAAGGGGCTTTGACTGGGCCATAGGATATAGGCCAAGGTGTCTTGGAGGCACCTCAGGATTTGGGCTCTCAGGGGGGGTTCTTGCCATGGAGGGGATTATAGTTCCATAAAGCTTTGGAGGATGGGATGTTCATTAGGAGTCCCTCCCCCATTTGGTGTGGCTATGGGGCTGTTAGGGGGTTAAGTGGTGCTGCTGTTCCTGCTCTCCATGTCCATGCTCTGAGGGGCATGTGGAGGGGATGGATCTGGCTGTCCTGGCCTGGAAGGCGCTGGGGTCTTGAGAGAAGCTACCAGAGGCAAAAATGGTGGGAGGGACTTGTCAGCCCCGGGAACTGTACAGAAATAGCTCCTTGGACATTCCCAGTGAGAGGCCCCAGCTGTAATCTAGCTTAGCTCAGTGCACACCCAGGCTGTGTCTACATTGCCATGATTTTGCGCAAAAGTGCCTGCTTTTGCGCAAAAATATGCTGCCTGTCTACACTGGCGGCGAGGTCTTGTGCAAGAACACTGACGTTCTAATGTGTGAAATCAGTGCTTCTTACGCAAGAACTATGATGCTCCCGCTCAGGAATATGCCCTCTTGTGCAACTGTTCTTGCGCAAGAGGCCAGTGTAGACAGGCAACATGAAGTTCTTGCGCAAAAAAGCCCTATGGCTAAAATGGCCATCGGAGCTTTCTTGCACAAGAGAGCATCTACACTGGTACGGATGCTTTTGTGCAAAAGCACATCTCTTGTGCAAAAGCACATGCCAGTGTAGACGCTGTCTTGCGCAAATACTTTAACGCAAAAACTCTTGCGTTAAAAGTATTTGCGCAAAATCTTGCCAATGTAGACGTAGTCCCAGTGTCCACATGGGGCTTCTCTTGAAATAGCTCCTGGGTCAAAGGAATTTTCCTGTCCTACAGGTGAGCCTGGTACTTTGGTGAGTTTGTTCCTGGGACTCTGAGGGCCACTTGGGGATCTGGAGGGCAGAAGAAAATGCCTGCCAGGGGAAGACTGAAAGAGTTCAGCCTGCTCAGCCCAGGTGCTTTGTTTCCTGTGTCTGAGGCCTTCCCGTGGAGAAAACAGCAGATAGCAAAGGGCTGGAACTGCGCAGAGACAGGCAGAAAAAGAACAGTGGCTGGAAGCTGAAGTCAGAGTAATTCAATTTAGAAACAAGGCTCAAATTTATCTCAGGATGTGAGACTGACTGTTGGGACAGGCTCCCCAGGGTAGGTGTGGAGTCTGCCTCCTTGAAAGGCTCTTCAGTCAAAGGGCAAATCTTCACTACAGGCTGGATTGATGGGCAATGATTGATCCAAGAGGAGACAACTGCTGAGTGCTCTCCTCTCAATTCCGGTACTTCACCAGAACGAGAAGAGTAAGCAGAGTTGATAGGAGAGCATCAGCTGTTGACTTACTGCAGTAAGGAAACCTAAGTACATTATTCACATAGCTGAAGATCCATAACTTAGGTCCCACGGTAGAATAGACAAAGCCAAACACAAGTGATTGGGCTCTATACAGGGTGTCGTGGGAGAGTCAGGAGGATGTTCTCCAGCTTGTGCTACACAGGACGGCAGACTATGTGATCTTCTGGCCTTACACTCTGGCTGCGTCTAGACTGGCAAGGTTTTTCGCCAAAGCAGCTGCTTTTGCAGAAAAACTTGCCAGCTATCTACACTGGCCACTTGAATTTCTGCAAGAACACTGACGATCTTATGTCTGAAATCAGTGCTTCTTGCGGAAATACTATGCTGCTCCTGTTCGGGCAAAAGTCCTTTTGCGCAAAAGCTTTTGTGCAAAAGGGCCAGTGTAGACAGCTCAGATTTGTTTTGCGCAAAAGCGCGTCTAGATTGGCACAGACGCTTTTCCGCAAAAAGTGCTTTTGTGGAAAATCATGCCAGTCTAGACGTAGCCTCTCAGCCTGTTTGACAGGGGAATGATTCTACCACTAATTCCCATGGCCCACAACTCAGTGACCAAGTTGCTGTTTGACAGCCTTAAAGCAGTGCCTTACCAAATTTGACCTTTTCCCACAATAAAAAAAAAATAGGGGGACCTAATGTAATTAATAGGCAGTAGGTTTAATACAAGAGGAGGTATTCATGCAATGCACAATTCACCTGTAGAACTCCTTGCTGGGGGATGTTGTGAAGGCCAAAAGTGTAGAACCGAGTTCAGAAGAGTGAGATGAGTGTATGGAGTATAGGTCCATCACTATTAACCAGGACAGAAGGGACACAGCCCCATGATTTAGGCATCTCTGAACTTCTAACTGCCAGAGAATGGAGGGTTGGACACTGGTAGATTTCTCCAGCATTGCTGTCATGTACACTCACCCTGAAGCTCTGTTCCTGGTTGCTGATGGAGACAGGATACTGAGCTAGATGGACCATTGCTGTGTCCCCTCTGGCAGTTCCTGTATTCATATGACCTTCCCCTTGGGGTGGGACTTGTCATGCTATTGCAAGGTGCCCTCTGCATGGGAGGGAGCTCACGTACTGTCTGGATGCCCAGCTGGCCAGGGCTTGAGGGTGTGACTGAGTCATAGAGCTCTGGGACTGCACTGCCCGAAGAGCTCTTGCATCTCTCCTTGGGCCATCCTGCTGAGACTGTGATCAGTAGCGATTCTTGAGCTGGGACTCCTCTCTCTGAAGGTGCAGCAGGCAGGTATTCTCTGCGAGGGCTCCTGCCCCCCCAGGCTTTCCCCCCATCTCTGGCCTCAGTTAACCAAAGGCCCAGGGGTGCAAAGTGTTCTGCAGGGTTCTCTCAAGTCTGCTTGTATGGAGCTTGGGCTGGCAGCTTCACCTGAGGGCCAGGCTGAGCCAGGACGGGGGCTGGGAGACAAAGGCTGTGGGGAGTTCAAGTTGGGGGAGAGGCCTCAACATTTCAATGTCAATAATCCTAACAGGGCCAGGAACTGTCCCCTGTGCTGCTCAACATGCTCTGACTGCAGGCTCCTCCGTGCACTTTTGTTTCAGGGCCCCCTGCTCTGGAGAGCACCCTGGATGAAGTGCTGCTGTGAAGCCACTGGGGGCAGAGAGAACCTGATTTCCTCCTCCTCCCCCGGAACCAGAAACCACTAGGGACTCAGCTGTAGCCTTGGGAGCCATAACTCAGGGACTGTGGACCCCCTCCCCAGGAGCTGCACAGCTGTAGGAGGGAATGGGTCCCCCCTACCAAAACCTGGGGTGTGTGTGTGTGTGTGGAATAAGACCAGTCAGGGGCATCTCCCTGCTAGACTCTACTCCCTATTTGTAAGCAAGAGTCAGCCTAATTTTGGTCTGCGACATCAGCACCATGGGGCACACACTTCCCCCACCACCTCCAGGAGCTGGGCCCAGACCAGGCACCTGCTCTGTATGGACAGTGGGGACTCAAGGCCCAGAGGAGCTGAGGAGCCTGCCACCTGCAGAGTTTCTGCTGGAGGGGTACAGCCTGCCCCCTGCTTCCTTGCTGAGCTCGGCAATAAAAGGTTCCTGTCCTAGCTGTGGTGTCACATTGTGAAGTGGTTGGTGAGGCCCTGGGAACAGGGCCCCAGATGTAGTATCCCTGTGGGGCTGGGCTGAGCTTCACACTCTGTGAGCCTCAGGTTGACTGATCTGGGAGGAGGCAGGCAGCAATATCTGGGCACCTGCATGGTGGCTGATGCAGAAGGGGGATGCTGTTCAAGTGGGGAGTTGTGCACAACAGGATCGTGTGTTGGGCGGGAGGCGGACTAGGGAACAAAGCCAGACTCCAGAAAGGTGATAATTCCTTTATTAACAATTCTCCTGTTGGCTTGGGCACCCCCACCTGAGTACATGCTGCTGTGGCAGCCTGCTGGCTGAGGGCACCATCCCCCTAGTTCCTAATGCATCCTGTCCCTGAGTCATACACTCCCTTTGTGCAGTCTTCATGGCCCAATAACACAGGGTCTCCTGTGCCATCCTAGTTCAGCAGTCCCTTGGTTGGTGACTCCAGGACTGGCTGGCTGAGTTTGTAGATGAAGTAGCAGATGCCATTAATGTGCCCGACCTCCTGCACTGTCACACCAGCCCCTCCCACCCGTTCCAGGAAAGGGATCCTGGCATCTGGGTCCTCATCTGAGAATTGCAGCAAGATGCCCCCTGGGCACAACACCCGCAGGCACTCAGCCACCAGCTGGCCAGCCTGGCCTGGTCCCTGGGGGCAGCGCAACAGTGAATCACAGGTGCCCTTGTCCAGCACCACATGGAAGGAACCATCCCCAAAGCTCCCCCCCTCAAGGTTAGTCGCATCCGCCACATGCAGATGAAGCTGGGAAAGGGAGTGTCGGGGTGGGGGGACCTCCTGGAGCAGCCACTGCAGAGACCTGATGGCCACAGGAGACACATCCACACAAGATATGTGGACAGGGTGTGGAGAGTCCCGATACAGTCCCAGGCCCAGATCTGAAGTGCCACAGCCTACGTCAAGCACCCGCATGGGGCTGAGGTTGGATTCGGGTGAGCCATACTCCTGCAGAGCTGGAAGCAGGAGCCCAGAGATAGCGGCGTAGTCAAAGAACCAGTTGAAGTGGGTCGGGGTCCCACCTGTAGCCTGCTGCATGTAGAAGCGGTCCCATGTGCTGGGCTGGGCCATGCCATGGTGCAGCCCATCTGGGGGAGGAAGGAGAGGTCAGTCTAAGGGCTGGGCAGGGAATCAAAAGAGGGGAAGATTATAGTAAGGCCAACAGGGAGGGTGCTGAAGCTCTCTAAAGCCTGGGTGCTGTAGCCAGACACAAACCCCATCTTGTTTTTCCATGAACCCCATCTTGTCCGTCCCCCCCCCCGCG